CTGAGGACTGACTGAAAGACCTGGAGCAGAGGAAGAGCCTGGTGTGTCCAGAGGCTAAAGAAGCAAACTTGGGGGAGTGTGGAGGGCGTGGGGAGGCTGAGGCAGGGCAGAGCTTGAATGCTAACCTAGGCAACTCTGACTCAATGAAGAAAGCATCTGGGAGCTACAAAGGTCTTAAGTCAGGGGACTGGCACGATTGGCCTGCTATAGAAGGATTTTTCAAGTAGTGCTGGTGAAACGGATCTGGAAGCAGAGACCACTCACCTGGAAGTCTGTTGGAGCTATCGGGGTTGTGTACAGCCAATTCCCTCTACCTTCACTCATTTCCCCTCACCTCTCTAACTTCTTTTGTTTCCTCCTCCTTCTCTTGGTTTTCTTTTATGTCCTTTCTCTTCCACACCTACTCTTTTCTCCAAGCATTCTTCCAGAGAGTGCTCAGAAGCTCTGATTTCGGACAAGCTGAAATAGATTCTTTTGTTTCCTTGAGTTCTAGCAAAATTTTCTGGTTCAACAGTGTGCTTCTGGATATATCATATTTATTAATAAAAACATTTGTTAACTTCAGAAATACAGTATTAAATAATACACTGTTGATAAATTTGTACATATTTAAGGAGTTCAGCAAGCAATGAGGTCTCAATGTGACCTTGTTTATAGAATTAAGATACCTTCCAGCTCCTAAATAAATGCATGCTTCCATCTACCTGGCATCATTTCAGAGTCCTCTAGAATTTTCAGTGTCATTATCCTCAAGCTGCAACTTGTCTTACAAAGGCAAGACACACCCAGCCAAAGTGAAGTTTTAAAGGTAGCAAATTTGCAATACTCACTGTGGCACCACCCTGCATTCTGAACAATAAGAATAATAAGCAGAATAATAAGAGGCAAGAGGTRAAAATTATGCTTAGAATGACCATAAGAAGTGCTTTCAAATGCATCATTTCAAGAGGTGCAGTGTGGTTATAGGGCTACTCAATAATTGGAAATGGAGTCATCTTAAAAAAATAAATAAAAGCAAATGAGTCTGAAGTAGGTCAGCTATCAGGAATAGTCAGTACAAACTACTGGTTTGGCATTAGTCTTTTTCAGACATCCCCAGGTATACAGATAATAATCATAATTGACAGTAAGGAAAGAGTCAAGTTTTTAAAGATTTTTATTTGGTTTATTTGGTTAGTTGTTGCTGCATAATAAAATATTTCAAAATTTAATGGCTTGAAACAATGATCACTCATTATTTTTCACAAGTCTATGGGTCATATGCAGAGAATGCTGACCTCAGTTTGACTCCCTCACATGTCTGTTGTTAGTTAACTGAGGATTGAGAGTACAAGGACCTGAGTTGGCTCAGCTCTGCTCTGCTCCACATCCACCCAAGAGGTTTACCCAAGAATAGAATCATGCAAGGCCTTATTCTGTCACTCTCTTAACCTCTTTAAATTGTCCATCTTTTTATTTCTTTAAACTTTGTTCTGAACTATTTCCTCAGATTCTGTGTTCCATTTCCTCATATATCTCTGCAGCTGTGTCTAATATTTACTATCCTCTGAAGAAATAGAAAAGGGTAGGTTGGTATGCATGTATAGGTTCAAAATGAAGCTTTATATTTTCTGTATTAATTCAGCACTACCTTTGGAGTCCTAGTGTCAAAATCCCTTAACTGCTTCTCTTTATAATCCTACTCACCCCATAACCCCACTTACTATTCACATTGTAGTATTCAAAATAGAAAACATGGAGAATATTCAAATATGTATGGAGGTCAAGTACTATATAGTATTACTTTAAAGTTAATGCATAGTACTCTTCCAAAGATAGATTGACTTGTGTAAAATTTACATTGTAATTAATATATCTGTAATTTGTCACTGCCTATTCTCCTATAGATAACAGGAACTACCCTACTCTCTTTAAATATTTGTCATATTTTTGTCTAAAAATGTACTTTATAAGCAAAAAACAGGCTAATATGTAAGTCCCTGATTATATTAAGAAGTTATATCCCTCACATATATTAGAATTGCTATGAAAAAAAGGAATAAAGAAAGAAAAAGGGAGAGGGAAGAAAGAAGGAAGAAAACAAACATTGAAGGAGATAGGGGAAAACTGGAACACTTGCACACTGTTAGTGATACTGTAAATGCAGCTGTTACCAAAAACATACAGAAGTTCTTAAAAAAACATGAAATGACTGTATGATTCAGCAACTTCACTTCTGGGTATACATTCAAAAGAACAGAAAACAAGGTCTTAAAGAGATATTTGTACACCTATATCCATAGCAGCATTGTTCACAGTAGCCAAAAGTGTAAGAATCCCTATGTCCATCAGTGTATAAATAGATAAACAAAGTGTTGTCTATACATAAAATGGAATCTTATTTAACTTTATTAAGGAATGAAATCTGATATATGCTATAACGTGGAAGAAACTTAAGAGTATTTAGAGTAGTCAAACTCACAGAAACAAAGTAGAATCACCATTGAAAAGGAGAGGGAAATGTGAAAATGTTTAATAAATGTGGAAAAGTTCTGGAGATTAGTAGTGTTAAGTATACTTACATTGTTGTACAACCAACTATATAATTAAAAATGTATAGTKTTTAAGACAGTACCTTTTTTTTTTTTTAAATGTTGTGTGTTTTATCACAATTAAGAACGAAGAAGTGGGCTGGGGATGTGGCTCAAGCGGTAGCACGCTCGCCTGGCATGCGTGCCGCCCAGGTTCGATCCTCAGCACCACATACAAAGATGTTGTGTCCGCCAAAAACTAAAAATAAATAAATAAATAAATAAATAAATAAATAAATAAATAAATAAATATTAAAAAAAAAAAGAACAAAGAAGTTACTAGGTGCTGTGGCACACACCTGTAATCCCAGAAGCTTGGGAGATTGAGGCAGGAGAATTTCGAGTTCAAAATCAGTCCCAGCAACTTAGCTAGGTCCTATGCAACTCAGTGAAACCCAGTCTCTAAATAAAATATAAAAAAGGGCTAGGGATGTGGCTCAGTGATTAAGTGTCCCTGGGTTTAATCTCTATACAAAAAAAAAATAGTTATAATACTTTAAAACAAAACCAATTATACAACTATGGTCTTACATTTGTAATAGGAGATGAGCCAGGCAGAGCAGGAAATTCCCAAGAGCTCTTAAACATACTGGCAACCACCCTACAGAACTCTTTCTCCCAAATTAGCTTTGGATCCGAGAGACCAGAAGTGCCACTTGGCTCCCATTCTCCAAACTCTGGGATTAAACCAGAGAAAGAAGTAAAAATTTATAGAAATACATTCTGTACATGACAATAGGATTTGGGAACCCTCAAGGTCATGTGCAATTTTTTTCCTCCTTCAAAACATTAAACCTGAGAAACATTTGTATTATATAATACTTCAATCCAGTGCTGTACAAATGTCTGAGCAAACTTATTTCCATTCTGGGGAACAGATGTTCCCTCATTGTCATTATTTTCTGGTGTTTAACTGTTTTTTGATGTCCATACTTAATTTCCCTCAAATTATTTGTTTTCTTAGCTTTTTTTTCTTGTATGCTTGAAAATTCAAATAAATATATGTCTATTGAGTTTCCTTTGCCCTGTATTTTAAAAAACCTTTGAGAGAACCCTTCTGACTGCTGATCTGTCTGGCCTAGTCAGGTTCCTTTTGGTAACTCAAGCAGGTTACAGTTTTCCAACTATTCATGTTCCTAGAGATGAGCTGCAGGAACTCCATTGATCTGTATTTGCCTTTATCCTTAAATTTGAAGCTAGAGGCCTCATAGGACTCTGTCTCAGAAATAGTTGCAATTGTTAAAAGTAATACTGTATTTCCTCCATGTTTTGGCCCCATTTCCACTTCTTAGCTGGATCAACATCAAATAGCTAATGGACTTTGAAATCGCTCTGCAATTTTTGTCTTTAGATACTTCCATCTTATTGTATTCTAAGGACATATTCTCCTTTCTGGGGGGAAAAAGAAGCCACAAAATGGTCTAATACCTTCTGCAAATAAATGACCCAGACCCCAAATTTCTGGTGGTCCTTTAAAGTCTCCTTTTCCTCATTGCACAATTTCTGCCTTTGTGAAAACCACCGCGTAGACTTCTGGCGATCCTGCGGGAACTTTGAACATTATCTATCTCAGGAAAGCAAAGGAAAGGACTGCTGTGTACAGGACGACCACAAATGGAATCTGAACTTCACCTGCCTTTTCTTAGGCAATCTAGGTCATGACCTTCACTTCGGGGAATGGCAGAGTAGCTTACCTGAAACTGTGTCCCCATTTCCCTCAAGATATTTGTTCTGGTCTCAAACGACTGTATTCAGCCCAAATGGGACAGCTCCAGATTTTTTTCGAGTTTTATGGTTGTGAGAATGGTTGGAACAGGGAGGTGGGAAGTTGAAGGCAGTCTGCTACGACTTTGACTTTGGTTTTACAATAGACAGATATAGGTACATGAAATGGACGTTTTTAAAAGCAAATGCGTGCGACGGGGCGGGAAGAGCTTCTGGAAGTCACTGGCCTAGGCATGCCTACTCCTTTGCAAAATTCACTGCCAAAGCCGAAGCGCTCCGAAACAGGCGGAGATGTAAAATCGAGTGGCTTGTGTTCCCAAAATGTGGGTGCACAGCACAGTCTACACGTTGTGGCCTAGAGAATCGAGGCTAGGTCAGATGAGAGGCTCAGGCTCTGCGGTGCAGAGCCGGCCGGCTCCTCACAGCCTCGGGCTGGGAGTCCCCCACCTCCACCAACCCTCCCCCAAACTCCGGCCCGGCGGGGCCGGGGAAAACCCGCGTGCTCTGGCGGGTCGAGGTGGGAGTGGCGATGCTGAGCTGTGGGCGGTGAAGGAGGGCGGGGTCAGGCAGGGAGGCAGGGCGGGCCCGGCGGGGTGGGCGGGGCGGGCGCGGAGCCTGACTCCGGACTCGGAGCAGGACGGCGGGCGGCACTAGAGGGAGCTGCCGCCGCGCCCGCCCCGCCGTGCCGCGCCCGCCGCTCCGAGCGCCGCCTCCTCAGTCCGCGCCGCCGCGATGGCGGAGGACAGCGAGTCTGCGGCCAGCCAGCAGAGCCTGGAGCTGGACGACCAAGACACGTGCGGGATAGACGGGGACAATGAGGAAGAGACTGAGCACGCCAAAGGGTAGGAGGCGGCGCGCGGGCGCCACCGGGAACGACTGGGCGGAAACCTCACGCGCCTCGGGTCGCCGTTCGGGCTTGTTTCCCCGGGGTGTGGGGCCCCTCAGTGGCTCAGCTCCGCGGTAATTTCGCCCAGGCTCGAGACTATTGTGAAGTCCAGGTTGCTGGGCTCGCAGGAGAGAGGAGGCCCGGGGTGGGCGGGGAGGCGGGGACCCCGGGCCAGGGACGGCGACGCGGTTGTCACCTGCCGCGCGTCCCCGCCGGCTGGCCTCGCCCATCCCCGCTGCTGGCTTTGGCCCGGTGGAGGCTGCTCGCTGCCCTTGCCAGCGAGTGACTTTCGGTGGGAACCGAGGAGAAGCGCGACGCCCTTCCCTTTGTGGCGGCGGCGTTCTTGACCGTCCGCGGCGCGTGGGATGAAGTGGTCCTCCCGGTTCCTTGCCAACCTTCCTTGAGTCTTTTCACCCCTCCCCCTCCCCCAACCACCACCAGCCCCAGTGAAGTATTTAGCCGCGAAGCCCATGTGGGGAGTGGAACCGAGGTGTGCCCCTGGCGGTTTCTGGGCTGCTAGCGGCGAACTGCGCAAAGTTCTGCCTCCGCCGCCGGGCAGGGGGCGCCGAAGGGGTCCCGGCCGGGCCGGCTCCTGGGGACACTCAGTTTTGCCACCTTCCAGCGAATCCGCAGAGCTTTGTATAGAGCAGGGCTGACCCCCTGTACCGAGCTCCCATAGACCTGACCGCATCCTGCTTGCAAACCCAGTGTTTGCTCTCCAAAGTCAAATGCACCAAGTGTTTTAATACTTGATCGTGTTTCTTCACCCTTTGCGCTTGCCTTCCTTTCCACCTTCTGACTTGACTTGCGCTTGTGTTGGAGAAAAGATTGCTTCTGGTTAAGGGTGGTATGGAAATTCTTTTAAAGACGCGTGTTCTTTTTTTTTTTTAAATAGATATTTGTATCATCCGTTTACCCTGTTGGATTCAAATTATGCGCCCGCACAGAGCAGTTATTGCTGCCCCCTTAGAACTGAGATTTTGTGTGAACCGTGGTGACTGTATAAGTGGGTCAGCCTAAAAACACGATTAGGGAGGCTTGAGTCACAGATGGCTTATTTATTCAATTCATGGAGATATTCTTTAAATGATTGATGATTGAAAGTGTATTTGCATTCTATTTAAAGTCTACTGTAAGATTTATTTAAGAAAGGAACCCTTATTGACCTTTAGTGCGTTAGAAAATATTAAATGACAGATTAAGAAAAAGAAAAGCTGACTACATGTATCTTCCATTGGCAAGCTGCTTTTTTTTTTTTTTTTAAACAGCGAACACTTCAGTGGCAGCTGCAAGTACTGAATGTTATCATTCAAGTCTAGAAAAATTTTTAAAGAGAGGAAAGGAAATTGTACAGAAATCCGAGCCTGTATTCTCTTTATGCAGTGATAGAAATTTGCCTGTGATAGATAGCTGAATAAAATATGTTTCTGAAACAATAGCTCTGTTTCCAGAAATGGTTCCAGATGTAAGCTGATGGATTACTCGCATAAGTTCAGCTCCTCTTATCTTCCTGGGGAGAACTTGAATACTGTCCCCCCGCCATAATTTCTATATATTCTTCTTTGTTTGATATTCTGGGTTAGGAATTTTATTAGGGTTTCATCACTTACACAGTGCAGAATGTTCATGGTACAGAGAATTACTCATCTGTGTGCCCATTGATCTGGGACTGTTCCCGGACACCTTGCTGGTAGGCTGAGTGAAGTTCCCAGAATAACACCCAAAGGCATCTTGGAGCCCTCTTCAGAGATTTCCAGTTTTGTATCAACATGTTAATTAGGTGTTAGCATGGTTAATCAAAATCTAGAGATGCCCCATGGACTGAAATGTTTTAACCAAAAGCAGGTAATGTGATAATAACTTCTAGTGCAAAAAGATTAATATAATGGATTTATTTTAGTCTTTTAACGTGTAAGAAGATTTGTAAAACTCCAAGTGGCTGCTCTTGTTGGATTGCTTTTTTGGATTTGAATTTAGACAGTATGTGCCAGATTTGGGGAGTGATTGTGTTTGATTTGGCTCCTGCATTGATGATACTGCTCGGTAGAAACCTAGACTTTTCTGTTTTTTTTTTTTTTTTTTTTTTTAAGTAGTTCAAGTTTGTAAATGTTAAAATTTCAGAGTCCTCTTTTCTATACTTAGACTCTTCATTCTCTACCACTTTAAATACGCAACAAACAATGAGTCTTTAGAGGAATGAGTAGTTTAATGCTTCACCTTTAAAAGACAGATTGTCACTCTGAGGCCAATTGGTGGTGGTCAGTGCACAGAGTGGTAATTTACAGTAGTTTCCTTGTGGCCTGAAAGATTTAATTCATCCCCATCATTCAGGGTAATGTATTTGCTAGTTATTTTAACACATTGAGTTGAAACTATAGCCTCAGATAAAAGAAAAATACCCAGTGAGATTATTATTTTGCATTAAAATCTAAATACTACTGTGTATGCTTTTATTTTCATAGGATTTTATGGACTAAAAAGAGTATTTCATTTTATGGATAATGATGAAACTACATGAATGAAATATGAGATATTTTGTGTTTCATTAAAAAGCAATAGCATAAATATTATAAAATTCTTGAATCTTATTACCTTTATGTCTTATTTTCGTGGAAAATTTGCTCGCTTTTAACTTTTTGGTTCATTCAAGTATAGATGTAGCATATACTATGAAAATTTCGGGCTGGGGATGTGGCTCAAGCGGTAGCACGCTGGCCTGGAATGTGTGCCGCCCGGGTTCGATCCTTAGCACCACAAACAAACAAAGATGTTGTGTCTGCCGAAAACTAAAAAATAAATATTAAAAAAAACTTTTTTCTCTCTCTCTCTCTCTTAAAAAAAAAAAAGAAATAGGCTAATAGATGATTACCTAGAAAGATTCTATTACTGGTTTGAAGGTGTGATTTACAATTGGATAAAAATAAGTAGGTCTTAGTGAAGAACTTGAGGGAGCCTGAAAAATTTCAAGCACATTAAAAGTTCTAGGGTAGTCTTGTTTATACTGTTATTTCCTTACAAAAACTTTCTACATAGATCAAAATTAGCTTCAGTCCACCTTCCTATATGAATTATTAGAAATGGGTTCAAGTGACTGAAAATAACWGCTAAAGTTGTCTGGAAGAGGTTACCTGTAGGATGAATTTCATAGGAACTTTTATGGGTTTGAGATTAGGTAGATAATCAAGAATCTTTAATATTTTAACCCTGTGCTTGTTCTTGATGTGTTTATGTCTTCTGTTATTTTTTTTCTGAAGGAATTTGGGAAACGGTTGAGGACTGGGTAAATTGTTGGAGCATTGGCTAAAACTTGCTATCTTCTAGCCACATCCATGTGTATCTTCTCCATTTGTGAACAACATCTGATAGGGGTCAAAATTTCCACCCCACAAGCACAGTCATGTCTAGGGTTGAAATACAGTCACATAGTTGGTCTCCAAATAAAATTGATGTTTAAGTTGATAACAAAACCGGTTGCCAACATTTAACTTTTAGAATGTATATTATATATTCTACACAAATTGATGTTTTTCTTTTTTCCATTCAGAGTTTCTCTCTTAGTATAGTCTGTGGGGAAATACCAACAATATTTATGTAGGGAATAAAAATAAACATGTGTATGTGTTGGCAGATAAGTGACTAAGTCCCTGAGGTAGATGTGATAATGTGATATAATTTTAGTATGTGAGAGTTAAGATTCTTTTTTTTTTTTGGTACCTGGGATTGAACCCAGGGGTACTTAATCACTGAACGACATCCCCAACCCCTTTTTATATATTATTTAGAGACAGGTCTCCTTGAGTTACTTAGGGCCTCACTAAATTGCTAAGGCTGACTTTGAACTCTTGATCCTCTTCAGCCTTCCAAGCTGCTGGGATTACAGGCATGTGCCACCATACCCGGTGAGAGTTAAGACATTTTTAATGATATTTTTTTTTCTCAGAAAAATTAAAGATCTGGTACATGACAAAGATGAAAGCTTTGTAATTCTTATTACACAGAGTATGACCTCTCTTTTACCATCCCCCCAAAAAACTGAAATTACTCTGGGCAGCATATCTAACTTAATTTATTGTTGAGACTGACTATGGAAACTTCCCCTTAGTTACATGGATTCAGTGGGAATGTCCAGAAACATAACTCTCAATAGAGTTTTCTTTTCTTGGGAAATTTACAACATAATTCAAAATTACCCTTTCTGAAATTTGTTCTATTATCAGCTACAAGAATCGAAGTGGAAAGATGTATTAAAAGCCCTTGCCCACGGGACCTCCTCAGTTCAAGAAATAGTTTTAAATGATCAAATATCAGTTTAAACTTGTGTCTGAGATAGAGATATCATCCTTTGGCTCAGAACAGACTTTCTTCCCTGCCCCCATGGTGGCTAAAATACAGAAAATATCTAAGTATATGACATGTACCTTGCCAGCTTTGTTAATTAGCACCAGGATATACTATAAATCTATACTAGTTAAAATCAATTTGTTTTAACAGAACTAAAGTTCTGTTCCAAGTTCAAGAAAGGAGACAGGTTGTTATTCCACTTAAAAATATGTTAATCACTTTTACTTGTTATAAGAGTAAAAATATGCTTATTAAAAAATTCAAACAATAAAGTATACAGTGAATGAAAGTCCTTGGTTTTCCTAGAAATTCCTAGAAATGCCAGTTTAACGGTTTAATTAACTCACAAGTGGGTGTATGTGATTAACATGAATAAAATCATACTTCCATATGTTCCTTCATTACCTTGTATTTTTCACTATTACTGTTGTCTGCTAGAACTTTCTGGAATAATAGAAATATCCAGTTTGGTAGTCATTAACCACCTGGGGCTGTTAACCACTTAAGATGGTGTGACTGAGGAACAGTTTATTTGAAATTAATTTAAATTTAAACACCCCTGTGTGACTGGTGGCTATCATATTAGACAGCTTATATCATATCCTGCCTGTGAAT